TGATTGTTCTTGAATGGCCCAGCCAGAGCCCTGACTTAAACCCAATTGAGCATCTCTGGAGAGACCTAAAAATGGCTGTCCACCAACGTTTACCATCCAACCTGACAGAACTGGAGAGGATCTGCAAGGAGGAATGGCAGAGGATCCCCAAATCCAGGTGTGAAAAACTTGTTGCATCTTTCCCAAAAAGACTCATGGCTGTATTAGATCAAAAGGGTGCTTCTACTAAATACTGAGCAAAGGGTCTGAATACTTAGGACCATGTGATATTTCAGTTTTTCTTTTTTAATAAATCTGCAAAAATGTCAACAATTCTGTGTTTTTCTGTCAATATGGGGTGCTGTGTGTACATTAATGAGGAAAAAAAATGAACTTACATGATTTTAGCAAATGGCTGCAATATAACAAAGAGTGAAAAATTTAAGGGGGTCTGAATACTTTCCGTACTCACTGTATATATATATATATACATATACATATACATATACAGTATATATCGACCTGTTTGAGAGTAACAGCACACAGTAACAGTCAGCTGTTGCCGTGGTAATGTGTCTGGTCACCGTGGTGATGGCGTACCGTAAGAGTTACACATGATGTGTGTCTCCGGATAGGATTTCCAGAGGATTCTGTCACACCATGAAGGAACGTTGGTCCGCATCTGAGAGACGAAAGGGATTTAAAGAATGCCATCAGGACGCTTCACTTCCTTTGGCAACGGTCAGAGGACAGGAAGTAGCCGCCTCAGGACCGTAAACATGTTTGCACAGGATTCTTTCTTCATGCACATGAAGAAGAGCTTCTTTAAAGGGATAGTTCACCCAAAAATGACAATGTGCTATTAATTTACTCACCCATCCGAGAGGCTTTTTTTCTGAACAGTAAAGAAGATTTTTAGCTGAAATCGTGCTTCTTGGTGATTCATACAGTGCAAGTCAATGGGTGCCGGCACTTTGAGAGTCAAAAAAGCGCATACAGGCAACACAGAATGAATCCCCGTGGCTCCTGGTGATATTTTGAGATCTTATGAAGCGAAACAATCAGTCTGTGCAAGAAACTGAAGATTACTTAACACATTATTAACTGTAATCAAGAGCCGCAGGTCAACAGGGAAATCTGATTCTTTTGGACAGTTTGATTCAATGAACTGGTTCAGTTCACTAGTTCGTTTATGTAATAATCATGCAATGACGTCACGTATACACAATTATATGATTAAAGCTCCCAATAATGATGTCAAGCGTGGATGTTTTATGTGTCTAAAGCAAATAAAGTGAATAAAGTCGTCTTCATCAGCTCATCTTTATACATAAACAATGAGAAACCATAAAAACGTTCAGTTCTCCGCTTCATTCAAGTGTTGGGTTCACGCATACGCACATCAGCGGATCACCGGTGTTCGGTCCGAGTCGAACCGTTTCCTCAGTTCAGTGTCTGTTGGAGGAACTGAATCGGTTCATTCATCAGAGAATCAGATACGCCGGTGTTTCGGCTCATTTCCAGTTGCAGTGATCGTCAGGCGTCTGGAAGTGAGTTCTGATTGAGTAACTTATAGATCTGTGCTGCTCGAGCCGCGAACTGATTCAGACGATTCAGTCCGATTCAATGAACTGATTCAACTAGTTCACTAAAAAGAACCGGTTCAAAAGAATGATTCGTTCATGAACTGAACCGTTTGCCTGAGGCTCTGGATTACAGGTAATAATGTGTTAAGTAATGTTCAGTTTCTTGCACAGACTGATTGTTTCGCTTCATAAGATCTCAAAATATCATCAGGAGGCACGGCTATTAATTTTGTGATCCTTGATAAGCTTTTTTGACTCTTAAAGTGACGGTAGCCATTGACTTGCCTTTTATGAATCACCAACAGCCACGGTTTCAGCTAAAAATCTTCTTTACTGTTCTACTGAAGAAAAAAAA